CCACACCAAAAGCTGTGACTACATACACCACATAGTTTTCTTGTGCTGGTAAGTCAAGCTGTTGACCTGTCACAGCGAAAAAGTTCCCATTCGGACACCATCGAGCGCATGTCAACGTCAGTTGATGAAATCGCGCGACGATTGGTGCTGAAAATGACGAATTTTGCGGTATTTTCTTCAACACTGGTGCAAATGATGTGAAGAATCTAACATTTCACAAATCATCTATAATAGATTTGAGACTTTCATCCATTCGTTGGCGCATTTTCTTTTAAAAGCTCGGCTGGAATTTTCTATCTAACCTAGGATACTCATGATACGGTTAAACTCGAACAATTCTAACGTTAAGATTTTTGAATAGTTCCAATGTTAAGTAATGATTCGAATACACCGTTCAAGGCATTCAGGAGAATCACTCGAATTACGAGTTGCAGTGGAGAAACTTACGACGACTATTAGGTAACTGACCAGTATCGTTCTCATTACGCATCAGCTGAACCACGCCATGGGCGTATGCGATGAGAAGTCTCGGTCGATGGTCTGATCGTGCTTCAGGATTAATCGGTAAAGAGTCGAGTGACTGTAGACGAGGCATTCGTGTGAAAGGAGAGGAAACTAAATTTGCACCAAGACAATGTCGAAGAAATATCAATACCTACTTGCAATGTTTGACAAGAAATAAGCGCCTTTTGTTGAGACTATAAGAATCCGACAGTTTAATGGGACAGATATTTGCTTCCTTGCTTTTTTTGCTTTTAGACCTCAAGGAACTGGGGGAGGTTTGCGTACTGAGAGTGTAAATTCCCGACACAATGGCTAACTTCACTTCAAACATTACACCAAATCTGGAGGCGACCTTTCTTTGAGTAACGGTTCGTGGTTCGTCAAGGTAGAGGACAAATAACGAGACAGCACAAGGATGCCGAATTATGAACAAAACTCGTAAGGTCAAGAGGGCTTTGAACTCGCCGCACCTTCCAACTCGATTCAATTACCGTTACTGAGAGCTCACATGTTACTCATTGCACCAACCACGGCCCTTGCTTTGCCTTTCTCTCGGCCAGTTTTTTACCCCATAGGTGCCGTCAGCAATCATTAATCAATGAGAATGATCTGGGGAATTTATACAACGAGACAGCGTTGTACTGCCGTTTCTCGCTGATTTCGTGCTATCAGATCTCCATCAATCCGCTGATAATATTTTATTCAAAATCCTTCCTCGATTTACGTGTTCAGACTTCTTATTATTATGAAATGCGATTGTAGTTAAAAATAAATAGCAAAGGAGTGCTTGGGCGACGAATTTTATTCAGAATCTATGATGTGCACTACACTTCTTTCCATTCTCTGAAGAATTGAATAATGCGGCTAAGTATCAAAAGTCAAAATTTCATAGAAGAAAGAAAGCATAGTTGTTTGTTTGCTCTAGAGCACAGATCGCTTATATAGCAACTATTCCTAGAATAAGTTTAACTTATTATTTACTGCCTAATCTTTTTAACGGCAGGGTATATGTTGCGAAATATAACTTCTACAATGCTGAGATATTTGCAAAACTCCGCACCGCAGGTGTCTGCGGTGGGAACGAACGCGAGATTGTCCTTTCCGGGGAGTAACGCGTTCTCCACCAAACCATGCGGGTCCTTCGTTTCGCCCGTCTCTCAGCTACTTCTATCGATCTCTGCCATTAGCAATCACCCGTCAAGGGAATTGATCTTGGGAACCCAAATCGGCAGCGAAGCCAGTTAAGTCGAGGCTGCAGTTATAATCACAATTTTAACTTATTATTTACGGCCTAATCTTTTTAACGGCAGGGTATTTTGCGAAATGCGTTCGTTCCTTACCGCAGACACCTGCGGTCCGGAGTTTTGCAAATATCCCAGCAACATTTAAGTTTTATTCCTAGAATAGTTTCTATTTCTTTCTATATCTATTCCTACGTTTCTATTACTGTATGTTTCTGTAATAAGGTTCATATCCGCTTTTTCTCAAGTTGCCTAGCAAGCATCGTAGTACGTAAATATTTCGATCCCATCCTATGGAACTTCGATCGCTAGAAACAGTCTTGTTATGCAAACTTATTTTTGCAATCTGAACTTGTTATTTGTTATCACTGTCCAAAAGTCATCATGCATTCAATAACAAGAAGGGCATGGGGATGTATGCGAGAGCAGTCTTCCGCCAGCTGATCTCCGGTTTTGAGAGGATTTGGAAGCGGTAGCCGACGAATGTTTTCGGCAAAGATGCTGGGCCTGTGCCAAATACCGCCTTCTCCAGAAGCATATAAATAGCCTCGTGAATTACTATCCTGTGTCGCTCCTGTCCAGGTTCATCGACTATCCAGGCTCGTCCTCTATACTCGTTTTTCCCCTATTGATCTCGTGTGTCACCTCTGCAGATTATCGCAGTTGTTAACTCAGTTGCACGTGGTTATTGCTGTATATTAGCTTCACTCTACCGTTATTACAACACAGTCGCGAATTGTCCAACAGCTTCATTTCATCATTACTGAATGATGCGAATTGTGCCTTAACTTCGCATTATTGTTACTACGTCAAGCTTCCCATCAGCCCAGTGTGTCCTCATCATCATCCTGATTCTCATCCTCCTGTCAATGTTCATCGTTTATCAATGGTTTATCAATTGATCTGCGGTCCGTTGTCAGTAGCGGCGGCTATCCTCAAATGCATTCTGTCTGCAACGCCATTGGCGGCATGTAGCATTCCTCCCACACTGTACGCCTTCCATACGAGGCCGGTGACCGGCCAATTTATGCTAGTATATTATGCCACTATAGCCGGTTATCAGTTCCCAGTTGCATTACTTATGGCTCAAGTTATCTCTTAGGCAATGGTGGCACCCATCGACACTCAAACTTCACGCTGCAGACATATCATTATCCAAGACCAGCCGCCTGACCGTGTTCCTCAGATGTCTCATCTCGTTCGTAGTCATTTCCACCATCGTTGCCTAAGTAATTTGCTACCCTCATCTATCAGTGTCAAAGTACACTTGTCCGCTGTACATATGATCTCTAGCTTAGCTTAATGCACGGCTCGTCTGCATCTCATTCTTCTGTTGTTCTAGCCATCGGCATCTTGGCCACTGCACGCACCAACGTGGGCACCATCATTCGCATTCCCTTAGTCGTCATTGTTATCAAGTTTCTGTTATCATTGTATTAGTGTTATAATAGTATCCTAAACTGTTTTAGCCTTATTAGCTTCACTTCACTGGTAGTTGTAGCGCCCCATAATCTTGGACTTGCCTTGCTCTTAGGCCAGTATTTTCTATCGTTATACCTGTTGCATTGGTGTTGCATTTATGTGTATGGACGGTCTAATTACCCAAGTTTGAGGTATTGCTCTGTGGCAACTACGAAAAGTCCCGCGTGGCGTCCTCTCACGAAGTCGAGCATTGTGCTTAAAGTTAGTGGCTATTCGGTGCCGAGAATTGACTCAAAGGCCTATTTTCCACTAGCGAGTGCATTAATTTGTGTTATTTTTTTCCTGGGTGATTATTTGCTGTTCAACAACCAATAATTGAAGTTTGTAAATCTCCTGTATTTTGGTAACGGACTCACGTTTTTTTCTGCTAGGCGGTGATGAACGAATTTCTGAAACAAAAAAATTTAGTAATCGTCATGATAAAGTGCTTCTCAGTTTCTGCATGCACTGAGCTTCACTGTGTATTGGGCAGTAGGCATGTTGGTACTTATTCCTTGGTCTAAATCGTACCAATGATTTGGTTATAAAAACGGTTCTTTCTACGGTACTGGTGCAGAGTAAAACACTCCTCACTTTCTTCATGCATGACCTTGGATAAGCTTTGGAATAACTATGAAAGGTGCTGTAAAAAGTTCGGGTTGGTAAGATTAACAGTAGAAGAAAGAGTTATACATGACTCATACCGGCCACTCTACCGCCAGATACGAGTGGAGTATACTTATGCCGGTACATAGGGTTTCACAGTGACTGATCATCGTGTGGTAAACCAGTGTTTTTATGTACATCTCTTTGGCAAAACTTTCGACTTGTTCACCTTCCAATATAGGTCGTTGGACTCTTATGCCCAGAGTGTGCGCTGTGTTCTAAATTTTATTATCTTATTATCTTATCTCATGCGACTCGTTTCTACACATACTGTGCGGATTTTGGCTCTTCTTGCACTTGATGGTTAATTTGCTTGCATCCACCATCTAACAAGGCCTTCGCGGTCTTCGAGTGTAAGTTTGGCTACTGCTGTTTCATCTTCCTTATGAATGCCGTAGAATGCTGGTCGAGTTGATTCCTTTTAACGTGGAATGGGGGGAGTAAAATAACAGTTTGACAAAACAAAACTGCTACCAATTTCCCGACTCCTGAGAGATAAGAGGCTTGGGGAGTACAGGGTGGGGTCGAGCGAGCACACTGCTTGTGGTGAACGGCATCACTACTACTGCGTTTGTTTTAAATATATAAGAAAAGGAAGTTTGGGGTGCTTCCAAGCATTCTACCTAGCTGCTTAATCCGTCCTTTACAAAAAAAATTGGATGTAATCATACGTACTACCTCAGGATAAAACAAATCTTAATTTTTTGCCATGAGAAAAGCCCTTACTCATACCCCATTGAACGTTTCCACTAAACTCACATAATTATGTCAATAATTACATGAATCATTCCTTAGAATTACAAGGTTTTATTAGAAATTAAGTGGATATGCAGAATTTCTATTAGCCGAACGGCACGTCTCTAAAACAAATTTACATTGGATGACGCTAAGCAGTGTGCACAAAATCTATAGCTCCTTACGCATAGTTAAATAAGACGTCGGTGCTGTTTCTTTGTTGACTAATTATCTGCTTCTCTAGGATTGGAGATGTAAGGAGTAGATAAGACTCATTCCGCGTACCGTTCTCAAAAAGTCGACATTTTAGCGTAGGTGCATACCATTTTAAAGCTATGATGTTATCCCTTCGCAAATCTTCTGAAATGCAATGCTTGGTGAGGTGGAATAGTGTTAATAAATAAGAAGGTGAATAGAAACACTAGGAGAGTTAAACGAACTGGCAAGAGCGGTCTCCAGCTCAACACTTTCTAATGCCACCATGTGGAGATTTTGCTGAAATTATACTCACTTACATAGAAGGTGAATTTTTGCTGTAATACACGCTGTGTTAACAAATCAACAACGGTACCAACCACAAAATTCCCCTGAGAGTCGTATGTATGCACCTCTCCGTCTCCCATGCCGAATAATAGCAAATTTCCGTCAGGAGACCACTGAAACGTAAGCAAAGGGTCCTGATTTTATCGAGATGTTATTGCCGAAGTACTTGTCGGAACCAAGTGGTAATGGCTTACCTCACATGTAGCAATATTTCCGGAAAGATCTTTGTTCCAAATGCGATTTCCATCCATCGTTCCAACTATAACTTGCCCTGACAAGGAAGCAGCGGTTATCAATCTACTAGAACATTTTTCTAATACTTCATTTGTCTACGAGATGGGACAAATGACTATCGTACTTTATTGCGGAACGGTCTTTCTTTATGGAATCACAATATTAATATAAGCAGTAGCGGAAGCTTGTTCTATAGAAAACATATAACGACATTTATGGAATCAATTGTTGTAGTAGTACGGTAGTTTTTCCGTACAAGAATTTAGACGTACCATCTTGATAAGCGATTGCTATTTTGCGCCCGTCGTGATTCCACGCCATACCAACAACAACGCTTTTGTTTCTGAACACGCATCAATTAAATCTAGTGATTCTCTGGGAGAAATCCGTACTGTTGAAGCACGATTGAAGACATTTTCTTCATGAATTTACCATTGACATTCCGTCTATTCATAGTGACACAAAGTCCAAGATGATCCAGTCACAACTTCATCATTCACTGAGGATCAAATGATGATTCCTTCAGTTCAGATTGAGAGCAATACCTGTTGTTTATCATTTCCTCGTACCACGTCTCATTATGAAGGCTCCACACAATGATCAAGCCGTTAGAATCACTTGTGGTAAGCTTCTGATGCATCTCATTCCAAGCTGCGCATAAAACTGTGCCTGAGAAAAAAAGGTTCATTTCCTTGAAGCATTTCATCCTCAAAAATTGTCTTCTAATCAGTCATTTTATCTAACATCTCTGACAGAAGATGGTTATGGCATGTTACATTCTTTAAAGCTTATTTTTTTCTCTCACCACTGTGTCCTTCCAGCGCTTGATTAACCGGCATGTTCATCACTGATCCTCCTTTTGCATCCTCTTAAGTGAATTTTAAAGTATTAACGAAATGAAGAAGGAAAATTCCATGCACTACGACAGCATAGTAAGGTTAGCTACAAATTTTACCTTGCGTTAGTTTTATAACTTTAAGAAGTCCTCCTGATCCACCACTCGCTAAAAAGTTTGTGTTTAAGTTCCATTCAACACAAGAAAGAACCGTGTTGCCGGGAACTTTGACCTGAATTCGCACTCTTGTGCTGGTACATAACTAAAAAATGACAAAGATCGGTGAATAGTTCTATTTTCGCTTCCAAAAATGCGAATTTCTAAATAGGATGCTTGACGAAAGTCTTTCAAGCTTTTCATTCCGTTTCTATCCGTTCTTTTTTGCTAATCTATGCAGGCTGGATATGCAGGTAAAAAACTTTTAGCAGGAAAAACGTGCTCTTTTAGTACTTGAAAACGGACTCATTGCGATATATTCCGGGTAATTCAGAGATTCAGGAATTTATATTAGAAGTCGATATCAAAAAGTGAATACATCAATGTTCATTGATCTAAACTGTTTGTGGAAAACCACAGGACCAACGAAACAGGACGAAAATGTCGAAATCTTTGCAAGCCTATCCATGTTGTTCAACATGCAGATATTCTCTTTTTCCAATTTTGAATAAATGTTCTACCAGTCATTTTTAATGGTTTGCTGTCTCATCGTGGCCAAGGGATGGTACAAGGTACCGAAATACGATGTACAGCAGGCGGCTCACCCATGAAGGGGGCTCCGAATGTGAGCAGCTGCATATTTCTAGTCAGAAGGTTGGAACAGAGCAAACGGATACTATACATAGGTCTGCGAAGTTCTGATGTGTACTTTATCGCTAAGGGCGAAAACAAGGATTTTTACACTAAAAATGTGAAACGTCTAGCGTTCATTGAGCTAAAGCAGCTCACAGGGCCACTCTAAACGAACAAGTGATGATATTACTGATGTTTGCTCAAGTGGTTTGTTGGTTTCCTTTATTACTAGTAAGTAGTACTGCTAATACTCATCAGGTGACCACCAGTGAGTGCGCGCTGTGCTTTTTGCCAGCGGTTTTTTACATGCTTTTATAGCTGCATTAAAATACAGAAAGAATAAAAGGTGAAGGATAAAGGATGAAGCGTTCGGCCTTGGTCAGTCTCTGAGGAATGCCCCATAACTTAACTTCATCAAGCATCGTTACAAGTCACTGAAAGCATATTTGACCTGCATAGAATTGCACTGGCTAATGATATATCAAGTGGGTTCTGCTACCCTCCCGGATGGGTACGGCAGCAATTTGCCAACCTCGGAGAGATGGAACATTTGACGAGCCTAGGGCACGAAGTCCGACCAATGGTTATGTGTTTATTGCACAGCAACTGTCTTTTTGAATGCCTATTCGTCATTGGAAAAAGAACTGCAGAGATTCGTCAAACTCTTTTTTTTGATCTATAGAAAATTCTCGGCAACGTGTCATGTGTGACAATGTAACTGGATGGAACACAGAAGCTGATCGAGGAAAGAAGCTCACCTTTCGTGTGAGTAGCAGAGCGCATCCATTGATCGATTTCTCGGTGTAATTCACCGCTGAATTGAGTAACTGCATCGCTCAAGGAGTCAGCAATCAAATATGTAGAATTGAAATCCGTTTGGTAGATATGTGTTGAAAATCTCAGCAGTTGGCCGATAATGTATTGCCATAGTAACGGCTCCTGCAACCGACTGGGGGAGTGCACAAACAAATTTTGTGCATTGGGGCACCGGAACGAGTAGTGTGGAGCCTGATTAGTTTTTCATTCCTTACCAAAAGATTTACGCTTCACATTTTTAAACACTGTTTTCCATTTCACTCGTGTAAATTGACGTATTCTACTGGCTAGCTAGTCGCACACACCGATGTAGACAGAGAACTAAACAGCGAAGACATTGCAGTGTGGTGTTACGAGCTTGGCACTTAAATTCTTAACAGTTTTCCTTCAAACTATCTCTTTTCATTTGAAGTTCTTACCGCGTTTGACTTAAAAATTGAATATACGGTGAGCAATGGATTCGGTCCGAATCTCATTCCCCTGATAATGTGTGCAACACTCAAGTTCTTACAAATGCTAGCGATTCTTCTCAGTACGTAATGAATGCGAGAGTGCCACGTCATTGTGGACACTTGTCGCACTATGTTTCTGAAATGGGACTGTGTCAAAGTTGAACTGACAACAGAGAGCAGCGACTTTTAGGCGTCCTTCAAATGATGGACTGCGCAAAACGCCGTTCCTTCCAGATTTCTAGAAGACCGATCTTAGTTAAACCTCGGCAATAATGACCAATGTTTTCTTAGATTATTAAGCTAAGAAGAGGCTATTGTAAAAGTTTCAGTCGGCTGGCGTTTCGGCGCCTTCGCCTTTCTCAGGACCTTGCCAGAAGCTTTCATTAATTTATCACTGATTGTTGAAGAGCATGAAACCTTTTCCAACTACATCCATGGAACTCGGCGTACACAATATGGGCGATTTTCTCCCAATTAATCATAACTGGTCCCGACATTGTAGCAAACTGGAGACTGTTTCATGAGATGCAGGAATGACACTCCTATCAAATGACTGCAGCAATTAACTGCTACTTGTTGCTTACACTGTTTATCGCTACCACATTGATCCATCGCATGTGTGGATGCTCCAGCTCATTAATGACTTTAATTGATGTCGCCTACTTTCGAGCAATTTCAAAAGCAGTCGACAACGCAAGTCTTTCAAACATTAGGAAGACTTAGTTGTTTGGAAAGAGTTCGAAAGTAGAAATACAGAAAACCTTTCTCAATATTGAAATCTACAATCTAACAGTTTCAAACTCCAGGTTGTTACATGAGTTTCATCTCTAAGAATAGTAACCTGGTGAATCAACTGAGGCATGAGTCGAGAATATTAGACGAGTTCAAAAGCGCAAGTTCAGGAAAAAAGTTCTTGTTGAAGTTCAGCTCCGATTGAAATATGGGGAACTTAGCGATGAAAATCATCTGACAAACTATGATCCTGGACTAAATTTCTTATACCACAGACTGGCACTAACGACATCGTAATCGCAACAAACACCGAGCTTCCATTAACCAAATCCAATCAATGGTTCAGTTGTGCTTCCATGCAAGAGGAAGGAAACTAATATAGCATTCTGCTGGGACATATTTCAATGGCAAGTCTTTAGCTACCCTTTTGTCGGAATTGTAGATGGATTACCTTCACTATTACAAGTGTTCGAGTAGAATTCTCCACGCAGTGTTTCTTCGCGAACTCAAGTCAGAAGAGCATGAGATTGCCACCCAGTTTCTCTATGTGTGTGGTACAGCAAAAACATAATGCATGTTATTTACAATGCACAGAGTCTCATCAATTCCTTATGGTTCCAGTCGCAATGTAGCTTCGCTATGACTATACAGTAATGGTCAACCGCATACATCGCAGCGCACCAAACTTATCCGAGTATTGGATAACTCAGTAGCTCACTTGAAAGAAGAAGGAGTTTTTTGTAACCCACGAATTCTTTTTGCGATCATATATTGGCGACACCACATATATTCTAGAATACTACCGAAGCGAAGCTATGCATTCACAGAAGCAGAAGGATGGTTGTGAATCATTCGCAGTAATACTGTGTCCATGGAGAGGGCTTGTATGCAAGCAAAATTTCTACATATTCCTAAAACCTCTCAATCAAGGTGAACAACGACCTAGAATATATGGTGCGTGGGAGCGAAAACATCGTTCCAGCGGCAGAGGCAGATCACTGCACAAAATCATTGAACTAAAAGCTCTTTATGCCTTGTGAATCTCCCCGAAATGTTGGCTATTACCTCGCCTAAGATAAAATCTGTGCGTGCCACCTACGCATCCCTCAATTCCGCTGAATATATTAGATAATGTACTCAGTATGGCGTCCGACATAACCGATAGGGTTGCTATAGCAAAAAAAATATCAGAAAAGTAATGTAATAGTTGTACCCCAAAAGCATATGCTGATGGAATAACAAGAACTAGATGGGTATGTAAAGGGGCACACCGACAGTGAATCCAAAAGGTCGCATAGTGCTTTCTTTGAGCACGTTAAGTTTGGTGTACATTCAGCTGTGGTTCAGCCTCGATCCGATGGTCTTCCTTCGCTGCTCCCAGGGGCCAGGGGGTTAACGATTTTCGGTTTCGGGATAAATGATTCTCAACAACATGCCGACACCAAAATGCGATTTCTTAAGTGACGTGGTGCGTTCGTTTTACTTATAATCCATAAATTATATTTGCCTTCAACGTAATTGATTCTACTAACAATGAAACTTACTCCATTTGTTGATCCTTTTTCCATTCGATGGTGATTTAATCGTGTCGCTCAGTGTTTCGCACTTTGCTGTTGATGACTTGGTGTATTTTTTGAACAATTCAGTTTTTTTTCGTCGTTACTTGACTTTTGGGAAAAACAAGCGAATGTTTTAACACAATTAATCGTGAACTGCACACGGGATTGCGATATTACACATGGGTTTCTCTATCTTCTAGTAGACTTTAATGCATCGGCTTTATTGTATACTTAGGAAACTCAGCAATATTATGAGTTTCCGTCCCCTTTTTATGGTGAAGTGTACATCAACATCCGGCTTATCATTAAGTGCTTCACTTGAACTAAACTTTTCGCTTCTTTTCGCTTCTCATACTCTACTTCGTTGACAGCGATGAACTCTGAAGTTGTTTCAAGAATTTCGCCTTGACAAAACCTGCATGTCATTCTCCAACATTGCTGTCACGTTGACCACTGTCGGAAGTGTTAGCAACGCTGATATATTTTGTCCAATTTCTTCCTCAGTTCGTGGTTAATGTTCAAATAAAATTTCGTGTTTGGTTATGATTCAATTCTTGATCAAGGCTGCATACGTAATAAAAGATTTTTCTTCTTTACAGAAGCATTTCTGAGAGCGAGTAGTTGGTAATTGGATATGAGAGGGACTGGGGGTCAATGGGAGAGGTACAATGGGATGATACGGTATTGAAAAGGATGACCCATTCCCTATCCTTATGTGTCGAAATAGTGCATTAGCAGATATGACGATATCGTTTAATAAGATATGGGGTAGTATCCTTCTTTGAAAAGTAATGTCCGTATATAGCCTTGTTTTTTGACTAAAAGACTGCAGCTTTCTTGAAGTAAGCAAGAAGCTAAGAGACGAGTTGTAAAACCTTCAAATTTTCTCACGGTCGCACCTCTGCTTCTTGTAGTGCTTCAGCATTCATTATTTACTCAACCGATTCATGACGAAATTCCTTCTGGCTCATTTGCAATTATCGTAGAACACTACCTACCGGAAAACTGGTAATTTTTATCGAAGAGGTAGAGGATCAGCACAGGGTTTACAACACATTCATGATGCAACCCATACTTTCAGCCCTCTTTCCTCTGCAGTATTCTTATGTGTGATTCGGCAGTTCCATCGATTCAAGACAGCAACAAGCCGTTGTTACAAATGTCGTTACAGCTCTAGATCTTTATGCTTATTTTAGATGCTCTTTACTTGCTAACAACTTCTGCAGAGAATATGATTTCAACAGATAAAATAGCCTTGTTATTACTCTGCTGTCGTGACGGGAGAAGATTTTTGAAAAGTGCATTGCAACGTTTACTATCTGGATACAGCTTGCATGTATGTGAAGGCAGTTAAAGATAAGTTATCTTCCAGGTAGTGAGTATTCCAATAAGTTACATGGAAATCCTGCTCAAATAAGGGAGTGTTACTAAATCGTCAATGTTTTCAAGCACAATCCGCAAAATTGGGAACTTTTTTCAACTCTCGATCGTCGTGCTTAGGAGACGAATAAGCCCTTTTGAATTCCCATATGTGGAGCAATGACTTATATTGAGAAGTGGATGCCTAATCCTATCTGTTACGTTAATCCCCATCAACGAAGCTTCACTCGACGTCGGATTAGAATTAGCTCTTATTCAATACTGTTAATTAAAACCATATATGCGTTATCGCAAGTGTGCCTGAGTCTTGCAATCGCAGTAGAATATCCGACTGGCTCTAATTACTTCAATTTCTTCTGCATCCTCTACATCATCTATAATTTCTTAACAAGTTAATTTTTAAGATTAGCTGTACGACATAAATACGGATAGAGGTTCTACTCCAGACATGGCGACGGAAGGCGAAAAATGCTTGAAAGCACAGCGGTCGAACATCACTTTAAGAGTTTAGTGAAAACTTGCTCCACGGCAACGTCGTTTTCCCAACCACTCGTTACTCATTACATGGTATTCATTTGATTCTAAAAAAATATTAGCACAATAAAAGCAGCTTTTCTCGTATAAGCAGAATGCTTAAGGTTTTAAAAGGCAGTATTAGGACTGCAGAATATCTCTTTACACCGTTTGAAATAACTTTGAGAACCTCTACCTTTGTCGAAATGAAAATTTTCGTCTTAAATGGCGTTTTCGTAGGCTTCTTTTAAAGCTTTTCTCTTGTGGTGAACGAATTAGATCTCGTACTAACAATTTACGTTTTACGTTCTTTCAACGAAATAGAATGGACCGATTTTTGTAAAGCTTATCCTCGATACTTCCAGATATAGCATTACCATGGCTTCACCTCCAACGTCACCAGTAAATTTGCATGCGAGCAAGCTTTCGGTGACAAACGAGGAAGGTGTCAACGCTCAAACCTCTATTCGGAAGCCAGGAATGAAAGTGAGTTTAGCTGCAAAAATAGGACGTCTTGCATCCACTGTGATAGATAAGCAGTGTGTAAGAGTGGAAAGAACGCTAATATAATACAAAATTCGTCTTTGGGTTCGCTAAATATCTTTTATTCAAACAACATCATCTAACGGTAACTGATACAGATCGCTGCCTTGGTTGAAGATGATGAAATGGCTAGTCTTCCACAAAGCACATCGAACTCGAAAAGTTACTTTCGAAACGGTCATGCTTCGTTTCGACTTCGGATGCTTCAAGAGCAGCACGGCACTGGTTTCGAACCTGTTAGTTTTATTGAATAATCGATAGAAGAGTGGAATATCCTCTAGGTTTCCTAGACACCATCATATTTTTATGCATAACTATTCCAAAATTATAACAAGTGAAATCTTGGCATACTTAAATCCTACAAATTTGCTCGTTTGAGCAATTGAAAAGATGAACGTGTCTGAATTGCAAATGTTTCAATGTGCCAACATTTTCTGCTTCTTAGTTTTCAAAAACATCAATCCCAAAATGTTTTTACCAGTTCCAGTATTTACAGTCTTGCCCTAAGTTGAGGGTAATTTTAACTTTTAATATTTGATGAACTCTAGTAGATTATGGGAGGCTCTAGAAACCTGTGGACCGCATCAAAAATTAGATGGTTCAATAGCCAATAAAGCAGTATAGGTAGCTCGATCATTATGCGTTTCGCGTTTCCGTCTACAGTGGCTTACGATGGAAAACTAAGAGTAATCATATCTGCGGCTCTAAAGGATGTCGTTGAAACCGAAGTAAAACGTATTCCTAACGCAGAGTCATTTTTGCCCTGTAAAACGCCGATCACAGTGAGGCTGCAGCTCATATAAAATTAAACGGTATTATTCTTAAAGAAGAATGAAAACAAATCACGGACATTGCTAAGTAGCGGGAGCATTACCAATTGTTGACAAAAGGTTCAGACACGAAATACCTATTGCGTAGGCGTTCTTGATTACTTGTTAACGTTTCCTACCTTGTTGACTCGTAGCATCTCTCCTTGTTTGACTATTCTGCGCTTCAAAACCTCGAGTCAAAATAAGGCCCGTATAGTCACTTGCTAATTATTAGCCTGAGAGACAATAAATAGACGACAAGAAAAATGCAGTAGATTCCAGGAGGATTCAGAAGCACTCTATGCTGACCACCTACAAGGTAGATGGATGGGCATGTCTTTTTTGTCAGCCAAGTATATTTGTAGCCGCAAACTCTTTGTGACCAGTCTATGATACTTGCAAATGTCACCATTTTGAAGGCAAATTGAGAAATGTGCTGGAGATCGCATTGCTCGCGACAACAGCTCGTTCTAGCATTCAAGTGATCATCATTATATGAAACTGATAACGGAAATGCTCTGCACTGATCTTTGTCGTTTCGTTCTCCTATTGAAAATATGAAGGGAGACGCAACACCAGTACTAATTAATACCACATTCGACTTCTTTCCAGCTGTAAGCCACAAACACATGAACTCCTTGAAATCCATGTGACAAACGACCTCCTAAAAGAAAAAATTCTAGACCAGTGGAGGCGGTCGCGCAACGTCGCAAACCTGTGTCACTGAAGAAATCTTTGTGGCCAGCTCTTAGTTTTTCTTTTGTGAATTGTACTCTACAAGACTTCATAAAGACTGCTCTATCGCTCATAACAAGGAATTTGAGTGAACAACACCCAGTTGAGCAAAGGGGGTTCCGAAAGACTGCTCTTGGATGCATCAAATCCAAACCATGAAAAAAACTCTAAAAGCTTATAGGCAATACCACCTTCTCTTCCCTCTAGCTGTTGCCGGCTATAGAAACTCAACGTAATGGTTTATTCTTCTGCCAGCGTTCGTCAACCAATGAGGAGAATCGCTCGACATAACAACTCTAGGTTATTCTTGTTGTGCCAGAACAATTAAAATATAACCGTTTCACGAACCCCTGACTCTCGTTGCAAAGAATGAATTCGAAAGAATGACAATATTTCGCCAAAGATGTTTACTGCCGCCGTGCAGTGGATAACGAAGTCACTCGAATGGGACGAATGGGACGAGAAGGTACATACATTGATGTCAGATTTCTTCAAAATCTTCTTCTTTTTGGGAACGTCGTCTTGTTTTCGAGAAGTAGACGCGAATCAGGAAAGATCTCAAAAGGAAAGTAGCTGCAAAATTTCACAAATCGGAAAAAAAATGCAGGTTGTAAAAAACCCATGAAGGGATGGTGAAGAAATCGAAATGGGTGGTTGTTTAATTACAAAGATCACATCGTACGTATACCATTTCGGTTTAATGAACGGCATTCAATGCACATGAAAGACAACATGAAGAGTGAATTATATGTAAAAAGAAGAGCATTATGAGCAGCGCTCAATCCTCTCGGAGAGGCCACTAATTACACAACGGACCCCAAACTGCGTGCTCATCTTTTTAACTCAACGATCCTCTCAGCATTGCGCTATGTGCACTATGCAGAAGGGACGCTATTAGATATTTCAACCAAGCTGAAAATTTTACGACCAACCACAGAGGCTTCGAACAATACCTTCTAAAATGCAATTGATGCAAATATATCAACTATCTATGCCGAGGTTCATAGAAAGTCGGTCTTTTGTGTAATTGATGCACGCAGCATCTCGCCGAACCCCTTATTTTAGTCCCTCAATGGTTATTTCATCTTCGAATACATGCTGAAAATTGGCGTGGTTAGGCCGATAAAGCAAAAAAAGGAGTCTGCGACAGAATGATAAGAGTAGTTACGCGGAATTCAAAAAGATGGAAGGGTCTTCTAGGACGCCACTTATAAGCTCGTAAATTGAGTGGACCTCTTTGTGTCCGAAGTATTATAAAGCAGAACTATTTGCAGTTCCAAATGTTTTATATTTGTGGGATGATAACGGCACTTGTCACCACGCTCTAAACAGACCACTTCCATCGATGACAATCGAAAGGCAAGGAAACGAATGGAAAATATGCTGGTGCTCACACTAATTCTAATGTCGGACAATCGAGTCAAATTATTGTCCAATAAAAGGTTTTTAAAAATTTGAAACGAAGCTTAGATATATGAAATTGTCAACGCAAGCAGAGCGGCTGCAAATACAGATGATAGTCTGAAGGGCGCTTCGGGTTCTGCTTGATTAAATCGTTCTTCTTAAATTGCTTCGATTTTCAATATGCGAACGTTAACAAAGCGCTACGAAAGTCTGCGTTTTAGGGTTCCAAAAAATTGGAGCTGCTTCTTGGTAGAGTAGGAAAGTTCGTGTCTAAGTAGAACTGCAAAAATTTTTAGATTTTTTTGGTATTTGGGCTGAGTAATACACTTCACTATGATCTAAGAGATGTTGGTTTAACTTTGAAAGCTGGCAGGACACTCGCACAGTATGAATCATATATGACTCATGCGGTTGTTAGTGTATCAAATACTACTACTAGTACTAAATAACACTGAACATCCAAACTAATCAAAAAGTGTCGTTGAAATTTCTACTGTTGAATATGTGGACTTATGCCAGTAAATTACTGCAATTTAACTTAACAGGTTTATTGAATAAAACTTTACCGTTGGAGAAAAAAGACAGGCCATCGACGTGAGAAGGAAAGGTAGAAGTAAGATGAGCAATAGTGGAAGGTCAAAAGTATGGAACAGGGCAGAGGAGCGCCTCGTTGCGTCCGAGCAGGGCTTTCCGTCCGAGCTGCTCATTGAATACTAGGCACTTCGAACTGGTTTGTTCATCAAGTGCAGTCACGCTTATTTCTTTCTCCTTTGGAACTGTCTACTCGAACTACTTTATGCTCTCAGTTCTTTTTCCTACTTTTTTTTTGAATTTGCACTACATTCCCAGTGAAGATTTCAAATTTTCTTTGGATTTTTTTGCGTTTCTTACCTCTGTGACCTATTAAGTGTAGAAATAGAAGAGTCGTTATTTTCTACAACTGCATTTTCATCTGTCGTCTCCGCCATATTAAACTGATTAGGTCAAAACCACTATGTGGATTAGATCCTTTCTCAGGCTCGCCCTTGAGACAGAAGTTATATCTGCAATTGTTTCTATCACACGAATTTCCCTGATAAGTAGGCGTGTTTGTTAGCTTCTTTCTGATGAATTCATTAGTACTGCTGAGGAAAGCAACTTCTGGCTGCACTAATAACACCTAGTGATCATCGACATAAGATTAGCGACTTTTGGCCTTGTCGAGTGAGTTTGTATTCAAAGAAATTACGCGAAAAGAAAGTGGTTGGAAGGGCTCGATTATATGCTCTCTATACCCATACATTCTACCCAGCGGTAAGCAAACCAGGCCCTCCCTCACTCCTTTGCGCTTACAAACCATCACTATGTCTATATGTAAAAAGTTCTTCCGATCCACAAAAATTAACCATTTTTTACTGTGAATATCTGGGAGCGCTTCAGCATGGTTATCTCGAGACTCCAATGAAAACTTACTCGTCATCACTTAAAGACAAAGCAGCAGCCGAATTCGCACGCATATCGGAATGCCCTGGTAATTGACGGATACAAGCCAATGAGTGGAATGAAATAATTGTTGGGATCTGCACAGCTCGATGAAGAGTCGTTTAAATAAAAAATTCACAAATAATTAAATTAAAATGAATCAAGGATAAAGGCTAATTCTCCAAGAACTATCACGCCGACTTTGCGTGATGAGTTCTATTCTGGTAGGTAACGATAGATAATTTTAACTCTCTCTACTGCTCACATAATATTTACAGCTATTGAACCTGCGTCAAAACAACTGCCGAAATTATGTTTTCAGAGTGAGGAAAATTCGCCTTAAGAAAAATTACTGCGACTATATCTTACCTTTAAAATGTTACAAATTATTGTGAACTACTTCTTTTAAGATTAATTAACATTAATTGAGGCCAAAATGCTAATACCATGGCTGTGCCGAAGAAAACGATCGGCGTAGCGAGGGGACTTCTGAAAATTTTGATTAAGACGTTTTCTCATTTTCAAAAACTTTGTGAACCCCCTACAATCAGCCTATCAATCGAGGTTTTAAAAAAATTTAAACTTAAATCTGGGCAGAATTTTAGTGAAATGTTTAGTAAAGGTGATTTAAGACGTTGATACGATTCGCAAAAGGTTTAGAACAGTTTTCTATTGCTTCTTCTTCACTTGATAGAAGGTTGCAGAACGCCTAAGCATAGTGTGCGAGAAGTTGGCTTCAAAAATGCGACGTTTTCTTGCACGAAGCACGGCACGATGTATTGTTCGGAGAAAAGCAAACTATTATCAACGGAGAATCAGTATTAGCAATTGTCCTGCACAAAAGT